ACTTTAAGTCAAATAGTTATTAATAATAGTTGAAATAAAAATAGAAAAGCTTATAGGACTATAATTATAAGGAATTTCATGGGTATATATTATTTGAGCTCTTACAAAATCATACAATGTCATTATCTGCTTGCATTTAATAGTAGAGTAGTTTTCAGAAATACATGAAACTTGTATAAAGTAGTATGTGCATAAGTCAATAACTTCAAAAGGAAACAATGGTATAGTAATCACTTCTGTGTATTATTTTAATGACTCTTTCAATTGTTTATGATAACCACTCTAATCATTTACTTCAGAACTGTCAAACCTATCAAAGGTAACATTTTAAAAACTGCAACTTGATTAGTTTACTAATAGCAAAGTTGCTCCACCTACTAAAAAGTGTTTATGCATTCTGTAAAGTAAAACACATGACTATGATTGTAAACTTTCTTCTAAACAATGCCAAAACCTGGAGAGTTAAGCATACAAAATATGAAATCTCCTTTAAATGACCCATAACTAGATAACAGATTGTCTGTAACTGTAATATACAGTACATTAGAGCAAGTGCTAATGTAGAGCTTTTTATTCCCCTCGTGTATGAAAACAATTGAAGGCCTGGGATGTAAACCTAACGGAGGGATACTCCTACTCCTTGTTAAAAATGCTAATATACCTTCAAGAGAAATATTTACTGAAGCGAACTCCTCGATTGATTTGGTTTAATCACAACGATGAAACAGATCTACAGGATAAATCACAAAATCCAAACACTAAGTAATGCGAACTATTAAACTAAACAAAACACAATATAATAGACTTACGCTAATAAGTTCAATTGGCAAGGTATTTGTTGATGCTCATGAGTTTTAGTGTCCGAAACGATCTGGCTGACTAGCACAGGTCAGCGGTCCTAATGAGTCCTCAGTATGTGGCCAGCGGTAGTCCCATCATTTACTGTAACATAGGAATCAGTACTACTATCATAGACCTCATTCTTAACAAGACCTTGTTCAACATCTTCCAACAATTGGTTCCAATAAAAAAAAATGGTCTTTTCTTTTTCACTTTTGTTGCTTCCTTCAGGAGCTAACTTGACAGTAAATAGGCCATCTATTAATTCTGTATTTAAAGTACTACTAGAAAATTCAAATATATTCCTTGCCTCAGTGGGGTGATTCCTCAGCATATGTAAAATCCCAACTGCGTTTAACCCATCAATAAACTGATTCATTTCACCAAGAGAAGGTGTTAAAGTGTAATGGATTGTGGCAGCTGTTAAAAACTTGGCCTTATTGGAAAAGACTATTGCTTTGGTATAGCCCATATCATAAAATGATTCACTGTAATAAGAGTTAGCTTTCTCTTCAAATAACTTTGGGTCATCTACACTATTTAGTTCTTTCAACTTTCCTTTTACATCTTTATTGGGAATACTGTCGATATTGCTCTTAACATGCTTAACATCACCATGTAAAAGATAGTCCACAACTGGTGGACAGAAAAACTGGGGACCCCCACTACCATTAACAATGGCCAAACCACAACATAAACCATACTTGAAGTAATCATTTTGCTGAAGTGCAATTAGATTATGTCCAAAGATTTTACCATTTCCTTCTTCTCCAACAAACAAAGATGAATAATATAATTCTTTATGGATTAAGGAAAAGAATTCTCTTTTGGGCCCTCCCTGGTCAACCCCAGCCTCACCCACAAATTGCACTTTTACTTAACTATTTTTATTAAGATCTTCCTTCTTTACCCTGTCACATTTCATCTTTGTGTCTTGCCATAAAGAGCTTCTTCTTACTTTGAACCTGAGAAAAATAACAGGACATTACTGGTAGTTTCTAACTAGAAAGTGAGTGTTGTAAGTAAGAAAGGCACTGTTTTGAGGGATTTGAAACAGTAGCTCAACAAACAGGGTACACATGTTTCAACTGAAAGTATGTACATAACTATTTATTTAAAAATAAGCAAAATGACTTCTGTCGCTGTTTATAAGTTGTATTGCAAGAGTGTTCAACCATGTAAAATTGATTTGCCAAACTGAAATACATGAATAAAATGAGATTCTAATGAGATTCTTAACTTCATGTATTAGTATAGTAGGTGGACCATCACAGCGAATGAACAATCTAGGAAATTGTAATAGAATGTTGAAAGACCTGAAAATATTTTCGGGCTTCCCATTAATCACCCAGATTGTTTATTCACTGCGACGGTCCACCTAATGTACTAATACACATATCTACCGAAGTTCAGTTCAGACCATTTAAGANCTAGATCCACCTTTATAGGCCCTCTGCCAGCTTTAAGATATGGCACCAAGACCATCGAGCTCAAGTCTTCATCTAAGTGTCTTGGCTTAACTATAGACAATAAGTTATCTTGGCAGGATCATATTAGGAATGTTTGTATTTTATTTAACAAGAAATTGGCTGTTTTGAAGCGAATCAAATTCCTGCCTCAGTCCATCTTGGAATCTATTTATTTCAATTCAATTATTCCTAGTGTTGTATATAATATTGTTGTTTGGGGCTCTGCTTCCCCATCACTTATGGAGGATATTGAACGTATTCATATGAGAGCAATTAGGATTGTTTGCAAGCTACCTATGACCACTCCAGCTGATGAGATCAAGAAATTGAGGCAATGGAATCCCATTTCTTTGTATTATGTTAAAAGACTGCTGGTTCTGACCTATCAATCCTATCATAGCTTAAATATGGAGGATCTAAATATTTTAATTTCTAAGGCAAAAACGAATTACAGCTTAAGAAATTCTCTAAATTTAGAAGTGCCAAGACCAAGATCTGAAATTGGCAGGTCTTCTTTTAAACACAGGGCCGCCTTGGTATGGAATCTTCTTCCCCATCATGTCAAGGAATGTGCTAACTTAAGATTGTTTAAGATTAAGCTTAAGGCTAACAAGCATCTTCTCAATAGCATACATTTTGCCAAAGGTTCCTGTTGTTTCAATGAAACACGATGACTTCCTGTATTTTTAATTGTAAATTTAATATTGATTTGTATTTAACTTATCTAATTAGAATTGTATTTAAGAAGTAATTTCACGCTGTTTTTCCAATTTTTATCATATATTTTATTGTGATTGTATTTAAATTGTAGTTTGGCAGGTCCACATCAGGACTTCGGTCTTGCCAATCCTTCTAACCTGCACTGTTAAATAAAGATGTATGTATGTATGTATGTATCTCTCTGCTATTTTACATATGCTAATTAGCTCGTGGGGCACCAACAGTTGTGTGACGTCACATGAAAACAAAGCTCTGCACTTCAGAATGTCTCTGATAGGTCGAGATTTGCAGCGTCTATTCTGTTATACCTCATTCTTCAAAGCCTCCCGACATCTGTAAATGATGTGGACGGGTATTCTGAAGTTGCTCCAATCGCGTAGCTGATTTCACCAATTTTCAGGGAGGCATGACAAAAAGAGCGATGGAACGAAGTGAGTACTTTTCATTTCTGTTACCTTCTGCGAACCTGACTTTGTAACAGTAATAAAACGGTTTCCAGCATAGGCGGCCAAGCGTACCACGTGTGATTTTGCTACTTGTATGTAGCACCACGCGTGTTACAAAGGAAGTCGCCAAAGTAGCGCTAAAAGGACCGTAAACGACAAAGCGGTTACTGAAAAAAGGTAAGGAGACTTATGACTCTTTAGACCGCAAAATCACACACAGTACGCTTGCGCCGCATGTGCAAATAATAAAGGCTGATAGTTTCTAAAGAACCTGTTTGGGGCTGCGTCGGTGGGGGTAACGAAATAATTTGAGTATATCAAAAAAGTTGAAATAGTAAATTGGCCACCGTTACGATTATAAAAACTGACGTTTCGAGCGTTAGCCCTTCGTCGGAGCGAANGAGAAGTCGAAGAAAATGGCAAACTTCCTTTTCTAGACTGCCTGGTAAGCCACAACGACAACTCATTACGAACGACAGTTTACAGGAAACCGACACACACCGACAGATTACTAGACGAGTCATCCTACAACCCTACATCACACAAAGCCACAACTATCAGAACTCTAACACGACGCGCACAACTAGTATGTGACTCGACAGACAGCTTATCCGACGAGAACAAATACCTTCACCGTGTTTTTACGAAGAACAACTACAACAACGACTTCATCCGACGAAACACTCACCGACCCACTACCACTACCGAAACAAACGACACCGCAACCCCTACGACTACAGCAACCATACCGTACATAAAAGGCATGTCTGAAAACATCTCGCGCATCTTACTACCCTTCAATATCCGCGTCGCCCACAAACCCATCACCACACTACGTCAGTTACTAACCAACGTTAAAGACAAAGACGAACCGAGGAACAGACAGGGAACGATTTATAAGATCAATTGTTCCGACTGCCAAGCCTCCTACATCGGTGAGACTGGCAGAAACCTCACAACAAGACTGACTGAACACAGACGGGCGACGAGGAAAGGTGATGTCAGCAATCACATTGCTGAACACCATCGACTTACCAACCACAACATTGACTGGGACTCTGCGCAATGCCTAACCTACAGCACTGACTATTTTCAACGACTGACTCTGGAAAGCTGGTTTACTAACTTAGAACAGACTCCCCTAAACAGATGTCAACAACTACCCGCTCCATACAAACGACTCATTCACGACATAAACATCACAAACGACCGAAAAAGAACGACCTAACTTTACCGACAGATCGAAACAGACCAATCACGACCGACTTACGTCACTTGAGTCTTACAGCCAATAACATCACGGCAAAACCAACCGATCATTTCACACGAACTGGACTAAGAACATTCTACTAACAACAATCATTCACTTGACTCTGATGATGACTTCCGCACAGGTTGTCGAAACGTCAGTCACTACCACCGACAACAGTCCTTCTCAGGACTACACTCACCCGGACGATCAGACTACACCTTCACAAGGAATCTTATCTTCAGGATATCAATGTAATCAACTGGAATGCTATCAAAAGCGAATGTATAGACTTACATGAAGTAACATCTAAAACAATTGATCTTCTCAAATCAATCACTAATAGACATGCACCAATTCGACAAATGTCCTGAAGAAAACAAAAATTATCTACTAAGCCCTGGATAACAAATGGCATTTTAAAATCAATCAAAACTAAACACACCATGTACAAAACACATTTTCTTTCTAACAATCCAGATAAGGTGGCAAAATATAAATAGTTTGCTAATAAACTAAACTGGCTTAAAAGTGTGAGTAAGAAGACCTATTTCTCTCAGCACTTTGACCAATGCAAGAATAATCTGAGGGCATCTTAGATGTTAATTGGTACACTAATAAACCACAACCATACGGGGTAGAACCCTATTTCAAAAATCGTGCATAACAATAGAGTTTACACAGATAAAACTGATATTGCAGATCAATTTAACAAACATTTTGTTAATGTAGGTCCAAACCTAGCCCAAAAGATTGGACACTGTGAAAGAAATCCTACCCAGTACATTAAATCAACCCCAGTAGACAGCTTTGTTCTATCTTGTGTAACTGAAACCCAAGTCTGCTCATTATTTAAATGCTTAAATGACCACAAGTCATCCCTTGATATCCCTAACAAATTAATCAAAATAGCTGCTCAACCATTGTCACTACCTTTAACATATATTTACAACCAGTCTATAGAAACTGGCATTGTTCCTGATATATTAAAAGTCTCTCAGGTGTCTCCAGTATATAAAAATGGAGATCCTACAAACCCTAGCAATTATCGCCCTATAGCAACTCTCTCACCATTCAGTAAAATACTTCAACGACTAGTCTACAATCAACTATATTCCTTCACAGAAAAACACCAAATCTTATACAAATATCAATTTGGATTTAGGAAAGGATACTCCACTGCCAGGCTATTCTTGAAATTACAGTCAATTTAAAGCTAGCAATTGATAGGAAAAAAATCACATGTGGTCTATTTCTTGATTTGTCAAAGGCCTTTGACACAGTAAGTCACAGCATTCTACTGTCTAAGCTCTCTTTATATCGTGTTCGAGGAGTCTCACATAAATGGTTTGAGAGTTATTTTCAAACCCGTAACCAATATGTCAAAATAGATTCCACTAGATCTGCCAATGAAAATATAACATGTGGTATACC